TGATATGGAAAAATGATTCCAGTTAAATGACTCTTAAGGTTATTTACTTTATTACATGGTTTCATTCCATAAATAACCAACTAGTAATGCCCTTGCCCAAAAGTATTTACTGTTTTCTTGCAGAAAAGTGCAATGTAATGTTTCCAAGTCATATTTGAACACACAAACATTTTGACCACTAGCAAACCCATGAATACTTTGCAAAGATAAGTAATTTATCCTGAGTGACTGCTAACTCATACTGACTGCAAATTAGAAGCCATGTACTTTTTGCTAGTAACATTTTTCATAAACAAAAAAATATGCAAGACTAGTGAATGGTCTGAACTGGAGGGAAAAATTTCAGTAACTTATTTTCTGTCACTCCTCAGTCCTATAATGTCAAGGAGAAGAAATTTAATTTACTTAGAGAAGCTACTATCAACCTGTTAAATTTCCTATTCAGTGCTGGAAGAGAGCAGGATCAATTGTCCTACACCTGAAATAAAGATACAGTGACAAAGCACCATAAAGGAGTCTAGTCTTATTGGAGGATACGTCTAAACTATTAGTTATCTGTGTTACAGACACAATATAGCTATTTGCTCATTTGAAGACATTTCAGTAATTAACTTGATTTTTCTAGAGCTGATTAATTTTTTTGTTTGGAAATTCAATTTTTTTTTAAAATGTAGTTTGACAGAAATATTCAGTCAAAATACAGGGGTCTTCTGCTCTATTCGTTCACACTTCACTGCTTGTAAACCTGTAATAGGAATTCATGACAAAATAATTAGTTGACAAAATCCTAGCTCAAAATGTAGTCCAGGATCTCAAAATAACTGTACAACTGTTTCCATCCATGTTTCCTCACAGGAATAGAAAAGCAATCCTTTACATTAGAAGGGACAATTTATTGAAGGATGGACCCCATTTTAATTACATTTGGTCCCTTAATGGTCTCTTTTGGTATATTGTCTCATGCATGTAGGACAGATAAAAAGGAATTTGCTTTTCTATACTATAGGGATCACACTAAATCTTGAAACAGGAACAGCAGTTTGCATCTAATTTAGTTAAATCTAGAATTAAACGGTCTGGCTTGGGATGGATTGTCCACTAATAAAAGTTAATTTCTCATCCAGATTGTATCTGAGGTTCTCTGTATTAGATTTCTAGGGATAACTACAAAATAAATGGAACTTATTCTTATCGCAGATACTGACCCTAGCCAACCCTCAGGTAAAATTTATTCATTATTTTAAGTGCCTACAGCTATTTTCTTGCTTCCTGTTTGCAAGCTGGGCTTAATAAGGTAGGATTTTAAAAAGCCATATTAAAAATATTAGCAATGGTCATATGAACATATATATGCCAGCCTTGCAAAATCTTATTCTCACACTCACTTGGGGTGTTTTGTTTTGATGTACCAGTGACGGATCAGTTTCCCCCACTCCTCTCCATTGTCTTCCATCAAAATGTAATAGGCTGGTATATATACTGGGCTCTCAGCTGATCTATTATGACAATTTTGAAAGAAGGGTTTTTATGTTCATTTATACTTCAGCCATAGAAAATATCTAAATAAACGTCCGGGTAATGCACAACCTTGATTATCCAAATGCCATAAGGAATAAATGAGGAGAAACAAGGGAATTTTCAAGAAGGCCCAGGTCCTAGAAACAAACACTAAGTTTAAAATACCAAACTAGATATCAAATATTGTATGGTCTGGTTTAAGATGAATACTCAGTGTATGTACACTACAGTGAATTTGCCCTTTTTATTTTACGTGTTTGGAATGGACTGGCACAGGTTACTTCTGGCTTTGCCCCTTGAGTTCTGCAATCGTTCCTGACTCAAGAAATAAAAATACATGTTCACTGTCCACATACAAACTACTCTCACAATGCCAATGGATACAATAAATATACCTAATGCACTTGATAGTAAGTTTAACATATTAAGGTAACATGTCTTAGACTTAGGCAATGCTAGATTGCAACACTTTAGGGTTTGTATGATTTAGAATTTAAAATATCAAGACTGTCTTTTTGTTCTGTTTGTACAGTGCATAATAAATAATAGCTTAGCTCATATTCTATTTATCACTTTTTTCCACAATTTAGGGGGACAGTATTTTGTACAACTTAATTTCAAAAATTTATTTTCTTGAAAAGTCAATTTGGTCATTTCCATCTTCAGATCATTTTGATTTTAAAGAGCTTTTTATTTTTGATTTAAAAAAATCAAACCGAAATTACCTATCAATCCATTTGTCTGAATTGTTTCCAGGTTTAAGAAAATTAAAACGCCTTAAATCTTAAAAGCAGGTAGCAACTGGCTTATCTGGAAGGACAAAAAAGTTTAAACTGTTGATTTAAAAATCGCCTCAGTGTAGAATAATCTGTTCCAAAATTAATCTTCAAAATATATTTGTGAACCTTTTATCATTATTTTGAATTTTTTTCCCTTTGAACTAAGCTTTAAAATTAATTACTAATTATCCAAAAAGTAAAGCAACCCACTTCATATTTGCCGCTATTTAGTAGTGGATCTTACCCCCATAATTTTCTAATATGTTTACATTTATATACAATACAGACACAACTGAGGCAATTGATTGACAACATGTGACAAATGTATGTACCTACTCACACACAAACCTCACATGGTGAGAAAAAGCTCTGCCCCAGTACATTCTACTATTCACAAAAGTAGTGCAAATAAAATATTTTGTCAGAAAACAATATTTTCACTATTCCAATCTCAAAGCAGATGATTTTAATTACCTTAAAAGCTAGTAAGAGAAATATGAGAATTTATTTGGAAATGTCAGATTTATGTATCTGAGACTATTATATTTGCAAACCATACAAATATCTGATATAATACATAACCGGTGTGATAAAATGTTCACTGCTACAGAATGGAAGGACAGGCTGTTCACACTCCTAAAAAAGCTTTTTCAAGGTCACATCACAAATCTGTATTTGAGATGTACAATAAGGTACAAAGTCTCTATATTCTGAAAACTAAACTAAATGGATGGATAGTAGAGTATTTAATCTTCACTTGCAACATTTGTTTAAACAGCTATTACTTGTCATCTTGCTGCCTGCATGAAAAATGGCTCAACAGCTCAACCAAAAAGCCACTTAAAATAGCTTAAAAGCTGATCAAAGATTTAATTAGCAGCCAATTATTTTATATTTCCTTAAATTATGAAGCCCCAGAAAAAAAAAGAGTTACAAATGCCAGCATATTATTGTACATAGTTATGCTAAAATCAAGGGATAATACATCTATCCTTACTTAAATGTGTATCTACACCTAGCTACAGTACCCATGGTTCCCCACTTCAGAGTTGTGCATATATACTATCTCAAATAAGGAGGAATGTCGTATTCTGCATTCTGACCTCTTGTATACTGCAACTGTATTCAACTATTGCAAGGGTCTAAAACTAGTGCATGATGTTACATACCAAATGCATTATAATTACGGAGAGACAATAAAGTGAGGTAACGATAAAGAACTTAAGTCTAAATCTATGTCACATTATCAGAAACCTATTATTTTAATAGTTTTGTACTTAGTTTAACAGTAACATACAATACCCTCCAAAGTCAACTCTAATTATTCTTTGTTTGTATCCCAAGTATTTCCATTTCAATTAATGTCACAGTACTTTGAAGTTCACTGAAGCTCAGTACATCATATTTCACAACTACCTTGACATGGATTGATGGACACATCTAAAAGCATTAATGATATATAGCACTGACATGACACATTATAATGGCTGCTTCATTTGTGTTAATGGATGAGTCATTCCAGAACTCAGAGAGGTTATCAGTGAACGTCTGACACGAAGCACTCAAAGGATCCTTTGGACAAGTTATGGTATATCATGTCAGTCCATAGTGTGGAACATCTAGGGTGTTAATAGGGACAGAATTTGAACTCTATCAAAAAGCATATTATAGCAAAAGTAGTGTGCATATACACAAAAGCAGATTAACGAATACTTATAACAGATTTATAAAATATAACAAAAGGCACTCCACCAAAATAAGGACTAAATACCTGCAAAACTGGTTTTAAAAAAGTGACTAAATCTTAATTCAAATTTGAGCACCCACATTTGACTCCCCATTTGAAATCACAGGACTATTTCATTTTGCTGAACTGGTTTAACTGCATTTTGTAAAAGAAATGGATCATGATATGGAAATTTATTTGCTAAGTTTTAGCCTGATGCAAAATTTTTAAAAGAGTTATAAATCCCTTAGGTGAAAACTAACAATGGAAAATATAGAACCTCGATAGAGCTAACAAACATCACTATGTATTTTTTTGTATATACCTCTATTTTTATTATTTTATATATATATATATATATATATATATATATATATATATATATATATATATATATATATATATATATATATATATATATATAT